CCCCCCCCCCCCCCCCCCCCCCCCCCCCCTCTAAGGGCATCACAACGGATAGCTTAGTCGAGTCCAAGTGTGCCTCCACATGCGGAGGCAGCCCGCTTACCTAACCTAACCTAACACGGTACTATGTTTTACATGTGTATTACACCAGCTGTGCTTTCTTTACGAAAAAATTTAAATAACAGTATATTGCTTTACCTAACCTAATTATTTTTTTGAGTTCTGTAATAATTATTGAAATGTAACTTCACTTCTGGTTCCTCTGAGGTATCCTTCACAAGTAACAAGAATGAAAATTTATGTTTTTACCAACTTGCTTTTTGACCAAATGCGCTTATGGGTTTTTACAATTCTGGATTACTATACGTCCTCCAAGGTTTAGATAAAAATTATGTAAATACATTTAAACTGCATTATCGAATACTTATCAGTAGTACTGAAATCTACTTAAAAAAATTATAGCTCTCAATATTGTTAAAACATTATTCTTCATATGTTTGACGTGCTATAATGGTCACGTAAATTACAATTTGCGAATGGGAAGGCAAATGAATGCAAACAAAACCTACTTTAAATAAGTCCTCTTTACCCTCAATACACAGATTTAGTGTACAAAACTGTGCACAAAAGATGCACTCCATCAAAGTTCACGATAAATATATAAAAAAAACTAGGGAAAAAGGCGAAGATTTGAAGACTTCACTTTCACTTTCTTAAAATATTTACTTTGACAAATAAAATTCATTAGTAACATGTGGTAATCTGTACAAATCATTAAACTACCATTTACCACAATACCACGTTAGCTTCTCTAATATAATAACAAAAAATCAAAGCCGAAATATACTGCTCATAAGAACCTTTTTCTTAGGGTGCTGAAAAAATTCAATTTAAATGTCATTCACATCTGGTACCTGTAGGGTATCCCTTATAGGTATCAAGTGTCAAAATTATCATGCGCGAGTTTTCAAGAATCCGGACCATTGTGCGTCGGACAAGTCGGTTGCGAAGTAAGAAGAGCTGAAAAAGTTTTCAAATTTTTGCGCAGGTGCCAAACGAACTTCCCGCGTGTGTTCGGGGGCATGCTTGCTTGTGCTTTGCTTTGTGCATATTCTATTTTTAGCGCATTCTGGTGTGTGGGTACTCGGAAATTTTGGACCGGAGGCCTACACTATCTTAAATTTAAATGTTTACCATCGTGCGGAGTACAGTGGCTCGCCCGGTGTGTGTTTGCGGATCGCTTTATTTAGGGACCATTTGTTTTTTATAATTCATGTCAGTCGATGTTCAACTCTCACGCCGTGTAGAGCGCCTTACGGATTACGTTAGCATAGACTACTTGTGCTTGGAACGCAAATTTTAGTGCTCGCGCTATAAAAAGGCCAATTGCCTTCATTTTTGCCGATTTAATTAAACACTTTGTTGTATATAAGACAAATAATTAAAAAAGAAAAAAAGCTTTCTTAATATTGTACCCAAAAATGGGGAGCCCCCGGGTCGTGGCCCGCTCCAAGGTTCTTTTACCTTTGGACTGGGTAAAAACAAAAAACTTAATTCTAACTCTGAAGGTCCAAAATACCTTCTAATGTCTAGAGTCGATAGCGAGGAACATTCCCTTAAAAACGTGTCACCATTTTTGATTAAAAAAATTATATACTCAGTTTGTTCTGGTGAAGTTGACATGTGCAAAAGACTAAGAACGGAACGGAACGGTGTTAATAAAGACAAAAAACGCATCCCAAGCAACAAAACTCACTTGCCTCATATCTCTTTCACCCTCAATTAAAGTGGATGTCAGTGAACACAAGTCACTAAACTACTCCAAAAGTGTAGTTTACTCAAATGACTTGAGAGAACTAGCAATAGAAGTAATCGTTAATGAACAGAAATCACAAAACGTGATAAGCGCACAAAAAGTAATGAAAAAGCAAAACGGAGAACTATTAGAAACCGGTTTGGTTATCATAACCTTCTCCTCTCCCTATTTACCAGATGAACTTTCAATAGGCTATGAAAAAGTGAAAATACGCCCCTACGTTCCCTCACCCATGCGTTGTTATAACTGCCTTCGCTACGGGCATATAACAAATACATGTAAAAACGAAAAGATTTGCCCCACATGCTCTAGCCCCTTCCACCTTAATACCGAATTAGAACAAAAATGCACACAACAAAAAGCCTGCATCAACTGCGCCGACAGCATAAACGAAACAAACAGCTATGGTCCACTCGGCAAAACCTGTCCAGTCTTTATGAAGGAAAAGGAGATTCAAGCAATTGTAACATTAGAAAAAGTGGATCGGAAAAAAACCATAGCTACATATAAACAACGTCATCCTAACTCAGCTCCGTCTTATTCGTCAATAATTAGAAACAACACATCAAACGGTTTACAAAACAACACGAGCACACGGCACGAACAAAATCACTTTTCACCAACAGACAGCAACAACCATAATCAAAGAAACATTGTGAACTACTCTGAAGTATGCGAAGAAGCAGAAATTCAGCCACTAATTACCTCACCATCTCACTCATCCACTACCACTACACCATCTTCTAAACAAACAAATATCACCATTCTTCCGAGAAATATTTCCAACAAACTAAAGCAACAGATAAAGAAAAAACTGAATGCAAAAGCAGAAGCCCGTGCAAAGAAATCAAAGCAAAGCAATAAAAGCGGCGACTCAGAATTCTCTGAAACCATGTCACTAGATGAGGACACACATGAGTTAAACCTATAGCTTGTCTAAGTTATTGCCAACTAAATCCATTATAAATAATATATAAGGTTAATAGCATAAGAAAATTTGCTAAAATATTTATATATTTCCCTTCTCAAAAATCAACAATGAGTGGCCAAATAGCAATTATGCTTTCTCTTAGCTTCTACACAGCAACAATAGACTGCCGAAACCCTTCACTCTACTCACTTAAAACTCACTACTCAGACCAGTGTTGCCAGGTCTTCGGCATGAGAAAACGTCCCTCTTGGCCTGAAAAAACGTCATTTCCTACCAAAAAACGTCTTTTTCAAATGAATGTACAAAAAATTGTTCTTATTAAACTTTGATTGTATACAAAGGTACATATGTACGTAAGGTATATTAAAATGTCATTTCGACAGAGCACATTTATAACATGTCCCCACCAAAAAGTTAACCATCTCAAATCGAACTTAACCACATCACTAACTATTGCTGTCCACACTGCGGTTTGAGGTTTATAAAGCAGTACAAATGTAGAGAACAGTGTTCGGACCTCCAAAAATCGATTCAGGACTAAAAATCTGGGCAAAAACAAATTTTCCGTACTAGATTGAATTTTTTATTTTCGTTTCTGACATTAATTGTTTGACTTAAATATTTTCTTTTCATGCAAAAATAAGAACGCGAGGCAATGTAAGGATAATATGTTAAACATTTAGGTAATATTTAGCATTTTCTATAAAATAGAACATTTCCAACACTTAATTTTTTAAAGAGCAACAGGATTTAAACTTTTTCTACTTTATATAAATTTCATTCTACATATATTTTTTAACAACTTAAGTAAAGTTCTGCATTCGCCAATTTCTACAGCCATACATCAAAAATAACGAAGTTAATTTATTGATGCATTGCTATGAAAGAGTTAAGGCTGATTCACATACAACTTTCTTCGCTTTGCTTGATAGTTCCTTGCTTTGACATATAAGATCGATGTAGGCATATGCATGAGTATGCTCACATAAAAAACGTTTGAAGCAAAGCAAAGCGAAGGAAAATATTGGGCAACTCTCACCTTTTGCCCGCTTTGGCAATTGTATCTTTTCTCGTGCGCTTGCATTTGCATTTAATGACAAAAATAGGGTAAATAGGAAATTTTATTGCTATTATTAATGCATATTATTATATTGTTATCTATTTTACAGAGCAAATATATGGAGGAAAAGGAGAACGTAAAAGCTGTCAAAGCGTTTATTGTAGCATACCTTCTGCGTTCCTCGCTTTGTTGTCAAAGTTTGAACTGTCAAGCAAAGCGAGGAAAGTTGTATGTGAATGGCCCTTTACTTTTTAACAGTGAGAACTTTCGATTTTTTTACTGAAACCGGTGGTGAACACTCAAAAAACGGCCCAAAAGTGCATAACATGAATGAAAAAAAAAACAGAATAGATTTGAAGTCAAGCGGAGAAGAGGAGTAAATTTCAAATTTTTTCAAAAACCGTAGTAAATCTAACCTGATCTTAGGTAAGTCCAAACACTAGTAAGGAACGTTTTTTTACATTTTAACGCTAATGACCCACAGATGGCGGGAAAACACAGGGTTGTATCAGACTTTTGACGTGGTTTCGAGTTGGTTAGCTTTTAACCATCTCAGTGAAATGGTTAAGTGCTGTCATTTTTATGTGGCGAAACTACGCTAAATGAAGTGGGTTATCGGGATAACCAACTCAACAGCCATAACTACGTGGTTAGCCCCGGTGGGGACATGGTATTAGAATTCATTGGAAACTGGTTTGAGATCGTTAAAATGATTTTATACATACACTTGTGATCAGCTGATTAAGTCCTCAATATTTTGATCGATTTTAGCTGTTTTTCTTTTGTTTATTTAATGTTTATTATTTTCCCATAAAAGCCACGCTGATTATTTAATAAACAAAATATAAATCCACATTTCAAACTTTGTGCAAAAATTATAAAAAATTGCAAAGTTTCAGCTATATTTTCAACTTTTTATTCAGATTTTTTAAATTTTTTTTGAGTATGCAGTTTGATGCCCATTAAATTTCAGAGCAATAATTTGCAAGTTTAAAGGGGCTACATAATCGCGTTGATTTTTAATAATTTTTTTTTTTCTTGTAGACATTTGGTTAGAGGGGCGGTTGTCGAAAATGCTACATTACGCTCTGCTAAGAAGGAGCATAGCAGTATTTTAGCATTTTTTGGGTTCATTACATTTTCAATGAAGTCTTAAAAAAGTCGCCTACTTTTTTCTGACTTTTTATGCTGCTACAGCTTTTTTGATGCTTTTGCGAGCGTGCGTGTTGCAATAGATCAGCTCTTCCTGATTTGGGTTTTAATGTGCAATTGCAAACATTACAATTAGTCTCGTAACCTCAAGTGTTTACACAACCAGCCTTTGCCCAAGAATCCAAAAAAATGCGCGTACACTTGATTAAGTCATTTGTGTCCAAAGAATAAATATCTTTTGAAGCAGCTGCTGCAAAACACAAAGCTTGTAAAGATTTATTAAGAAAATAATTCAAAACAGCTGAAGCAACTGCTGCAAAACACAAAGCTTGTAAAGATTTATTAAGAAAATAATTCAAAACAAAAAAGATTTAGTGACAGAGAAAAATTACTGGGAAGTTAAAAAACGTCATTTTTTACACAAAAAACGTCCAAACGTCAACAGGATACAAAAAACGTCCAAATGACGTTAAAAACGTCAACCTGGCAACGCTGACTCAGATTTTAAGTTCTCTTTTGTAAGCTCTCTTACAAAAACTGATCACTCTTGCCAATGCGATGGACTTTAAGATATTACAGTGGAATATCAAAGGCTTCATCAATAACTTATGCGATCAGCTCATTATAAGAGAGTTCAACCCTAACTTCATTTCTCTTCAAGAAACACATTGCCAATCCACATTCTCTCCTACAACACCAACAAACTATATTACTTACTTGCACAACTCACCTATTAATACATACGCCAAACAAGGTGTTGGAGTTTTAATCAAAAAGAATATACCACATAAACGCCTTACCCTAAATACCTCACTGCAAGCCATGGCAATAGAAATCGATTTAAATATCAAGCTCACAATCCTCTCCATGTACATCCCACCCTCACAAACGTTTGATCATCGCGACTTAATTGATATATATCAATCTATAAACACACCTCTTGTTGTCGTCGGCGACTTTAACAGCTGGAATACAATTTGGGGCTCACCCTCAAATAACTCCCATGGAAAAGAAACTGAGATAGCTATCACTCAATCAAGTATGTGTGTTCTTAATGACGGTAGGCCGACACATTTCACTACCCATAACACATTCACCCACATAGACATTTCCTCCTGTTCCCTCTCCCTCCTCCCAATAACGTCGTGGACGATTTCCGATGACTTACATCACAGCGATCACTTCCTTATAAAAATAACCATTAATCTTGAACAACGCCCCCACCACCCCTTCCCTCGCCTGGGAGAATTTTAATACAATATGCCAACTGGGATAGCTTCTCAAAAGGAGTCGACATTGAACTGGAGAAAAGAAGAGTGCCACCATGCTGCAACGGCAATGCAGCTCGTATAACAAAAGCTATACGAGCCGCCGCGAACTTCTCCATACTCCAGTCGAAAAAAAAGAAAATATTCAGTGTCCGATGGTGGAATAACGATCTGGCGAAGTTAAGAAAATTGAAAATGGACGCGTGGCACCAATTTAAAAATAACTACTCCCTACCACATCTAATAAATTACAAGAAAAGAAATGCCCAATTCAGAAAGGAAGTAAAGAGCTCTAAACAAATTAGTTTTGAAGAATTTACACGGGAAATAAATAGAGACTACCCTACATCGAATATTTGGAAAAAGATAAATCGACTTTCAGGCAAAGCCTCGTACAACCCTATAGCTGCTATCCACTCTCCCACCGGAACCCTGACTGAGACAAAAAAAATTGCTGACTATTTCGGCAAAGAATGGGCTTATTACTCTTCCGACAACAGCTTCTCTCAAAACTACAATCTTTCTAAAAGCCAAATAAACGAAATAAGCATACAACACACTTCAAACACCCAAGCCAAGCTAGTTGAAAACCCGATAACATTGACCGAACTTCACTATTGTCTGAGTAAAGTCGAAGGTAAAACTCCTGGACAGGATCGAATCAATTATCAAATGATTAAATCATTGAGTCTTTCAGGGAAAATCCAATTACTCGATTTGTACAATAAAATTTTTTTTTTTTTTGGTAACATTCCACATGCCTGGAAACTATCATTAGTATTCCTAATTCTAGAACTGAATAACGATATATCCAAAATAGAATCTTTCCGTCCAATTTCTTTACTTCTAATTGCAAAAAGAATAACCTGGTTTATGGACCATCAAAAACTAATAGCACCCAACCAAACCGCCTTCACATCGATATCCATGTATCTAATGCATTATCCTCAAGAAATCACGCTACAATTCTATCGTTAGATTTCGAAAGAACCTTCGACAGAGTAGGTCTACATTAGGGCGGGTCAATTTGTATGGATCGATTTTTTTCGACATTGTTCCTAGCATATTCGGATTCTTCATAAAATTCTTAGAAAAAAATTCCTCCAGACCATAGCTCTAAAGTCAATTTCGAGCCTGCGCATTTTTAAAAGAAGATATCTTATATATAAAAATGAATTGCTGCCCGTTAGTCTCGCTAAGACTCGATAACGGCTTGACCGATTTGAATATTTTTATTTTTTTGGTTTGTTTTTTATAATATCCGGATGGTTAAAACCAGAAAAAAGTAGAGAGTTGCCACCTGTTTAAAAATTCCAGTATAAGTAAATTAATGACATATATTAGATATTGCAATATGGGTGTAAAAAGAAAGAGGTTATGAAGGCTTACAAGCGAAAATATTTTAAGGTTTAAGAAGGCTTATTACTGAAAATATTTTTGAGTCGAGTTGCCACCAATTTCGAAAATTTAATTCAATTAAGTTAATAAAATAAAGTATGTATTATAATATAGGTGTCAAA